TGACCTCATTTGGCTTGAATCTTTTCCTCACTGCTCAGCCGTAGTTTCCTTTTTTTTTCATTTCTTTTCCTTTGCTTGCTTTTCCGCTGGCCAAAAGGACATTGACACAATGCAGGCTAAAAGTATAAAAGGCTAAAAACGTGACTTTGGGCCAACTGTGACGCGCTTTTCACCACACACTAGCCTCGCTGTGCCCACAGTTTTCAGGTTGTCGCGTAGATCGAGGTGAAGCTTTTCAGGCTTGATGACGTCAATGAGCTTGCCGAAAAAGGTCAATCACTATGAATGATGACGACACAGCAAGGCGGCCTTCTTACAACATTTTGTAGGAAATCTAATTAAGTTTGATAGAAAAAACAAAATATATAAAAAATTATAATTAATTATGATAAGATTCTGATAATAAGTACAGGCTAAGAAGATGATAATGAAACCAACTTCCTTAAGCCAAAACCAAACCGTTTAATACCGGTTATGTTCACCGTTTCACTTACGGTTCTAAGCTTAAATCGGTTAAGAATCCGATTTAATTTTCCAAAAGAAAAACGGTTTGGGTACCGGCTTTTCCTTGGAACTTAAAAAATGTGAAAACTTGCAGGGAAAAACCAAAGCTTTTGCAAGCCCTGCAAGCATTTCGAGAAAGCTCTTTTCTTTTCCTCAACTTTTTCGAATTTCCAATGCTGCTGATGAATTTTCGAAGTTTTCAACAGGCAACGTTGACGCTGGCAGAGGCAGCAACGGCAAACGTCGACGCTGACGCCGACAGCGGCAGCAAACGAGCGGCGAAAATCACTCGGCTCGTCGGCTCAACATTTGTTGCTCAGCAGGAGCCAAAGGCGAACGGCGAACGGCGAACAGCGAACACGTGCTCACTACTGGCAGTCAGCAGCGCTCGGCATCTGCGGCAGATTGCACCACCGACCATAACCATCAGCAGTAGCAGCAGCACCACCCACTGCCTCCTGCCTCCTGCCTCCTCCACTCTCCTTGAAAGTTACGCTTGAACATCTCGGCTTTCCTGCGAATTTTCCTCCTTTTTACTGAGGCAATTGAAACGGCAAAGACAAAGGGACTACAATTGAAATAAATAAGGGGAAAGCAGGAAAATGGTTAACGAAAACTCAATCAATGGTAGTTAAAATGTATTCCCTTTCTTAATTGAAAGTATTTAATAAGTTTTTAAGTTTTAAGAATAATATTTAAGACTAGAAACTCTTTTAACTACTTTTGTAAGCAGGAAAATGTTCCTCCTCTCAGGGAAAGATGGAAAGATTCCTTAAATATCTTTTCCAAACTTATCTGAAAGATACCCAAAACCCTTCTTAGACATCTCCCAAGCCTTCCTTATCGCTATCTCAAGCTACCAACCACAAAGGACTTTAAAATTCATTAACCATTTCGTAGGGACTTGGATCAGCTTAGCTCTTCTGCTTCGCTTGAACTGTGAAAACATTTTTCTCTGCAGATTTTGTTGTTGTTTGCATTTCCCTGCGAAAAGCCTCTGCAGAGCCTCAAATTTTCTATTCTATTTTCCCACATTTTTTGTTGAGTTTTCTGTTCCTCTGCCAGAGATAAGCACCGCCACTCGATGATGTTCAATGCTTTTCTGTTCGGTTTTTACGCTTTCCACGACTTTTACTCGACTGCCACCCTCATAAATATGCAAAGGAAATGCAAAACGAAGCAAAGAAAACGCCTCCCCGCTCCTTATCATCGTACCACACACCCGCAAACAAATGGAGATAAACTGAGGAGATGCTGTCGGAAAATTCAACACCAATTGCCACGCCCATTTCCGTGTTTCCGCAACGGGCGGCAATTAAGAAATTACCTGAAGACATTTCCCATGCCTCCGAAATCTTGAAGGGGAAACTGCGCTTTTCCCCTTGCTCTTTCGCTTAATACTTTGGAAAATTGTGGTTAGATGACAGTTTTTCTGTATTTTCCTAAGAAGATTTATTAAATTCCATATTTTTGAGGAAACCCTTTTGCTTGAGAGAGCCCTATGCTCCTCCAATCAGCCTGATTGAAAGCTAGGCAAAAAGCCTTGAAAGAAGCTCGGGAAATATGCTAATAAAAATTCAATTTCAGCTCCTTCGAGGGAGCGGAGGAGCCAATGGCATATTGTTTTTTCGTTTGTTTGCTTCTTTCGGGAAGCATTTTGTTGGTGTGCTCGGGTTTTTATTGCTAACTGGGCCATAAAAAAACAAACTCCGAATGCACTTTCGGCCGTGCGTCTGTTGGGGTCATAAAAAACCGTTGCACTGCGCGAAAATTCCACTTCTCTTCACATTTTTGCTGATTCAGAGGAGTACTAAAAATAAATTAACTGAAATTGTGAAGAAAATCCCATCTTTACATCGCAAATCCAATCGTTTTTCATTTTTTCTTAAAAATATTACGCATACGCAACGTTGTGCAATATCAAAGTCCCCAAAAACCTACCAACTTTTCATTTCAGTGCACTTGCTCTCTATTACTGATTCCTTACTTTTATTTCCGACTTTACTTTTTCCCTCTCCTCTTTCCTTCCCAACTTCCCTTCCATTTGCAAATGATTTTTGCATGCATTTATTACTCATACGCAACGTGGCCCGAGGTCAAAGCGCATTAACAGCCATCAATATGTTTAGCTACACCTCGGATTCAGGTGGCCGAAAGTGATGAAGACGAGGGTGGCATCTTAAGCCTATTGGCTAACTAAATGTCAGCAAACGACAGGCGACAGTTCTTGTCATTTAATTTGTCATTTCCCGGGGAGACGGCTCACGGCTCACAGCTAACAGTTCACGGCTCAGGGGACCAAAATTAAGCGATGTCGTCTGTTGGCCGTTGTCTTTCTGTCCTTTCTGTCTGTGTTATATGTTGTCTGTTGGCTGATGTCTAATGTCTGTTGCCTGTTGGATCTCCCTCCCTCAGCTTGACTGTGCAACGACGCCACCTTCGACCCATTTGCCTCCACCTCGGCTCACCTTCAGCGTTCAGTCACAGCCCGAAAGCACTTCAAAGGCCATCATCTTGACATTTTGATTTATTGGCTTCGCTGCTGCTGTTGCTGCTGCTGTTGTTTGCCGACTTGGTCTGCGGCTTTCACTTTGGATTTAACTTTGGCTTGTTGGCTGACTGGCTGGCTTGTTGCTTTCCTTTCCTTGCGGCTTGTTGCTGCCTCAGCAGTTGCTGATGTTTGGCAGTAAGCCGCTTACAAGTATTGGCCCGCCTGGAGAACGCACTGTGCCAAACCGCCAAACAAGTTGGCCCAATCTCTGAGATGATTTTACACTCAAAGAAAAATAGGCTCAAGAAAAATAATAACTTAAGTTTGTCTTACAACTTCTGCTTTCTATTCTTAAAAACTGAAGAAAAGGGTTCCTATTTGATTTCCTATTTTCTCTCAGTGCCTCCACTGATGCTGCCAACTTTTTGACATTGGCCTTTGACAGCGAACATGGCTCCTTTCCACCCACTTTTCTGGCCATTCTGTGTTCTGGCCTGTGTGTATGTTTGGGCCACCAATGCAAAGCAAAGAGCCCAAGCTGGCAACAAAGTAAAATGGCTAAAATGCAGGTTCCAGGTTCAGGTTTTCCTATAGGATAGAAAGAATCCTAAATCCGGATTCCCAACTAAGTTAACGAGCTCGTTACGGCTCATTGGCCTTTGGGTCGTGCCCCCTCCCCCGCCACGAATGCATTTTGGCCAACGTAAATTGAATTTGGTCTCAGTCGCCTGCCTTCGTACCGCCTTCGAAACAGAAACAGAAATGCAAATTGAGCGCCAAGTGGATGGTCGATGGGCGGTTAGCAGTGGGCTGGTTAGGAGGAGGATGAGAAGGGGGAGAGGTGTGGCAACAATAATCGAGTGCCACTCGAAACGGCACATAATAACATATAATTATTTGAGCAAATGCAATCAATTTAAATCGTTTGCGGCCGAGGCGACAGAATTGAAGCGCTAATTGCGATAATTACTAAGTAAGCACAGAGAGTGAGTGAAAGAGTGAGAGAGAGAGAGAGGGCGGCGCACCCAAACGAGATTGAAAATAAATATGAACCGGAAAATTAACAATCTCAGCAAATAAATTCAGATTTAAAGCGCATTTCCAATTGAGAAGTCAAATCAATGCCATTAAATCTTTTCTATACACTTTTCTATCTACAAAAAGTTGTAAATATTTTCTTTTAATCCTTTAAAAATGCACCTGATACCTGCTCCCTCTCATAGTATGCCAAAATAAAGTATCTTGGGCAGAGAGATAGAAAAGGAAACTTGAGTGGGAAACCCATGATTGCGAATAGGAAAACTTTCCTGGCTGCCACCATGGGCCAAGTTTGTCCCATTAAACTTTGTACTTGTTGAGGATATCGCAAAGTATTCCCTCTCCAAGGAAAGAAAATCAAGCCAAGACAGTTTTTATCCACACCCCTCCACCCCAAGTCTTGAGTGTGCATTCATTGTTGATTTCTACCCCCCTTCCTCCCCCTTACCAACCTAGCTAAGAAAAAAGGACATCCTGGCCATAGCTGTTATAGGAAAATAAGAAATAAAATAAAAACAGAGGTAACTTTCGAGGGCGCAGGCGTGGAATCAAAGAGCGACCAACTCTCTTCGTTAAACATATTAATGATTTCCCGCACATGAATCTATGGATAATATATATATATAGATATATATTCCTATTAACAATCTACTATTTCGATTTGGCTCTTTGAGGGCGGCAAACAATCCCTCCCCGCCTTGCCCTGCCTGATTTCATTTCGAGTTCTTAAATTAGCGAATTTTAAGTCTTTTCGATTTATTTACGATGTGCGTAAGGCTATAGCCATGGGATATATCCATGGAAACTCTCATCGAAAACTATGAGAGAGAAAATGATGAGCCACAGAGAAGGGAGAGAGAGAGAGAGAGAGAGAGAGCTGCGAGCGAGAGAGTGTGAACCGGATGCGTGGGAAAGTTGCCGGTGAAAGCGTGGAAAACAAACCGCTACGAAGGAAAATGTCGCCGCACAACTCGCTCAGTCGAGCATTAGACGCCAACGCGTTCGGTACCAGCTCTATCTCTCTCTCACTCCCACACACACTCTCTCTATCTCTGTCTATCTCTGCCTGTCTGTTGCCTTAACCGTCTCAGTCGCACCTCAACTCACACCCAATCGCACTACACACACACACACACCCGCAAACACCCGCATAACACCCACATAACACCCACCGAACGACTCCAGAGGAAAAGTGTGAAAAGTTCGTTCTTCAGCCACGGGGCTCTGCTCTTATGTATACAAGTATGTAAAGAAAAGCGGGGGAAAAACAACAATCAAAACGAAACCAAAATGCATCGGAATTTTGTTTTCCCAATTTTTCCTAATAACTTAATTAACTTTTGGAGGCAGCAAACAAACAGACAGACAGACAGACAGTTTTCGAACACATCATTTAATAGGCGATCTATAAATATGAAAATTTTATTTTCGAACTGCACTCGCCGGCCATAAATCAAAACAAATCAAAATCAAAATCAAAATATACTCTTGACGTCTTTCAAGGGGAAATTGTTTTCGATTGCTACTCGAATATGGAAAAGAAAAACTAGATTTTAGAAACTAATTTGGATGGAAACCTAAAAGGAAAGACTTTTCCTTCCTTGAAAATTTCTAAAAAACTTTCAAAATATATCCCACAGCTCCCCGCACCCGGTAAAATGTTTCTGGCGGTTAACCAGAGTCTGCAGAACACCAGCAAGAAGCGCAAGCGCCGAACGCCTGGCGATGATCCGCCAGAGGATCCAGCGGATGGGACCAACCCAACTCCACAGCTGGAGACCAGTGCCTCCAGTGATCAGCTGGTCGTCCAAGGAGCAATCTGCCAAACGTGCAAGTGCCCTGGCCGCCAGTCTCTGACACTGATCTACATCTACTTGGGGGCCCTTACCCTCATCCTGGCCAGCTTGTCTATAGTCTTCTTGACACACAGCCAGGATGAGCCGACGTCGTCGTCGCCCGTGGACAGTCCCTACTCGACAAGTGCATTCCGAGTGCAATTCCAGATGGAACTGCAGCGATCGGAGGATGAACTTAGGACAATGGTTAATAGGATACTCGAGGAGGAGCAGCAACTGGGTGGCAGGTAGATCATTGATCTTCAGATTTCCTTTTTCCGTTTGATATATTTTCCTGATCCCGCCCCTTTATAGCACCACAGTAAGTAGCACCACCCAATCAAGGGATCCCCTCAAGAACGAGCGCAAGTTCACGGACAACCTGATAAGCCACACACCACGACCCACCGGAAAACGAATGCGTCGGGACATCGCCTCCTCCGCTCCGGCCTCCATGCATGGCAAGCCCAAGAATCCTCGAAGAAGAAATCCCAAAAACTAACTATATCTCTCGCAACCCCATTAGCTGATCCCCTGATCGAGTTCTTCAATCCGAATCATCGGAAGGTTCTGGAAGAGCAGGACACCGAAATCCGCAAGCGTACGGGTCAGAAGGGAGCCGCTCCTGGCGGCGATGAGTGGATCTATTTGAACACCTACTGCCGTGTGCCCGAAAAGATAATCACAGGCTTTTGCAAGGGCACCCAGGACTACTGTCCACCGGCCCCGCAAGGTCCGACGGGTGAGGTGGGTCCCAAAGGACCCACTGGAAATCCCGGTCTGCCTGGCATTCCGGGACCCAAGGGAAATCGTGGCGATGTGGGATTGCCTGGTGCTCCGGGCGTCGATGGTGTGGGTCATTTGGGTCCCGCTGGACCACGCGGACCCAAGGGAGACGCTGGGGCCACTGGTAGGGCCGGTCTAGATGGTCGTGATGGAGTGCCCGGTGAACCGGGACTCGATGGCGTTCCAGGACGTGCTGGAGCCGATGGAAAGAATGGTCTGTCTGGCCGCGATGGCAAGGACGGACTCCATGGCAAGGATGGTAAAGATGGTCTGTCCATTACGGGACCGAAAGGAGCTCAGGGACCGCCCGGCGAACGGGGTCTCAAGGGTGAGTTAACTTCCATACCCTGTAATCTCAATATTTTATCCTGTTTCTGGACAGGCATTGCTGGGCCACGTGGTCGTCCTGGCAAGCCGGGCACTAATGGCACTCCCGGAATACCCGGCATTAATGCCTGGAAAATGCAGTTCCCCAATGGCAGCTCCACCAACGACCTACTCATACCTCCCTCAATAACAGGTGAGTTAAAGGGCAGGTTAAAGATCTTGACTAACAGCTTTAAAATCTCTCCAAGATGTGCAACTCCCAGACTTCCAGCGCACAGTGATTGTGGAGGAGGGAAGCTCCCTGAACTTGAGCTGCTCGGCCACGGGAACTCCCACACCGCAAGTGGAATGGCGACGCGAGGATGGTCGCACCATCAACGTCAACGGCGTGGAGAGTGAGTAGTAGCTGGGTGGGTAGGCACCTCTCATTACTCTACAAAATCCTCTTCCTTTAGTGGCCTCCATCAGCGGGCAGTTCCTGAAGTTCACCAACATCACCAGACACCAAATGTCTGCCTACACTTGCTACGCCAACAATGGCATCGCTCCCGTGGCCAATGCCACTTACATCGTGGAAGTTCAGTGTAAGATTGGCTAACAGAGTCTTCCTACTGACAAATACTAAAAGGTTAATCCCCACCCCATCTCCCATCCCCCAGTTGCTCCCATGATATCCGTTTATAGGCAAATGATCTATGCTGAGTACCAGAGCAGCGCCACACTGGAGTGCCAGGTGGAGGCCTTCCCCGAAGCCATCAAGTACTGGGAACGTGCCTATGACGGCAAGATCCTTGACCCGAGCGAGAAGTACGGCATTGAAACGTACCCAGAGGGGTGAGTTAACCCATGTTATCAACTCTTAACCCTTTGAGTATCTTTGAATTCTGATTGTTAGTTTCAAGACCACCATGCGCCTGACCGTCAGCAATCTCCGCAAGGATGACTTTGGCTACTACCATTGCGTGGCCAGAAATGAACTGAACGCTACTATGGTCAACTTTGAAATAGCACGTGGGTCTTCTTATATCTCTTAAACGTAGAAAACTTGGAAAATTCTGTTACTTTCCTTTATCTTTCAGCTCAAGACCCGAACAGTGAGACGCCATACGTGGGCAATAACATCAAGGTTTATGGCCAAAGGCCGCCGGAGAGCGAGTGTCCTGTCTGTGACCAGTGTCCAGATCCCAGGTAAGTCTTTCTATTCAACTTCCTGATCAATTTAACCTAACTTCCTTCTTTAGTCTATATCAGTGCAAGGATTCCATACTGAACAACTTTGAGATCCAGCCCACGGGCAACCTAAGCTATCCTGGTCTTCCCAAGCGGCCAAAGAGTAAGTTCAGAACTATATCCTTGATAAGACTTAACTATAATGTTCCTCCTAACAGCCTGCTATCTGTATGCTGTGGGCAAGCCAGTTTTCCACAAGGTGGTCAATGAAAAGTTTGGCTCCTGGCTAAGGGATCCCTCGCCGGACAGCGATCGTGAGAAGACTTTCGTGACGAATGAAAACGATCCCTATAACCTCTTTGAGTTCACCACTCGGATTCAGTATCGCATGAACAGCATTCCGAGAAGGAAATATGAGATTCAAGAAGGTTTTCATGTGGGTTTTCTAGCCTTAAAGTAGATGGTTTTCCTTTCTTATTCATTCAGCAATTTCCCTTTCAGGGCAATGCTCATGTGGTTTTCAATGGCTCCTTCTACTATCAACAAAGGAACTCGGATCTGGTGGTCAAGCTGGACCTAACTAGCCTCAAGAAGATAAGTAGGTATCTGGAAAATGCTATTAAATAGGTTTCCTATAAACTTAACCTCCCTTAGCCACCCAACTACCCTATGCTGGAGTGGCTGCAGCCAACAGACTTTACACAACGGACTTCAACTACATGGACTTCAATGTGGATGAGGTGGGTCTTTGGGTGATCTACAGCACCTACAACTCCAACAACACAATGGTGGCCAAGGTAAAAGTTGATTTCCCTTTAAATTAAGATTTATCTTAAAAGATAATCTAAACCAGCTGGATGCCGAGACCTTGAAGATGCAGTACAACTTCAACATCACCTTGGATCATCATCAATTTGGCGAGATGTTCATCGTTTGCGGCAATCTTTATGCCATCGATTCGGGCACGGATAAGAATACCCAAATCCGATACGTTGTGGATCTGTACAAGGGCAAGCTGCTCAATACGAATCTGCCCTTCTCGAATCCATTTAGCCATACAACCACCGTTGGCTATAACCCTTTGACTGTGGTAAGTACTTTTTGACTTTTTAAGATTAACTTTCGGGTTTTATAGATTTTTTTTATGTACTTTTTAGGAACTCTATTCCTGGGACAAAGGCAACGCACTCACATATCCCATTCGCTATAATGAACAGCGTCTCATCTCCGATAATAGTTAGGAGTTGGAGACCCAAAAACAAAAACGATCTTAAAGATCCACAGAGTCCAGGCTCAAATCTAACTAGTCTAAGGCACCTTAAATAAATGCAAACTGTTTTTTTTTTTTCCTAAAACAATCTACATCTAAATCTGGTTTATCTCTCTCAATTTCTCTGGGGAAAGTATTCGCTGCTGCTGCTGCTGTGAGATCATTCGTTTGGTTTCTCAATTCAAAGTCTGGTAATTCGCTAATTGAAAGGCACAACAGCAAGGGAAAGTGTGCGCAAAAACTGTGGGGTGTGAACTGCTAATTTGCCAAAGGTGGAACCGAAAAAAGTGGCGTGTGTTGGATGGAGGGTAAATATATATACCCTATGAACTATATAGTCCACCGATTTTATAGAATTTTCATTCACATTTTCTACTTTCATTTTCATATAAATATTTTTGTAATGGACTTACTTAAACTTCTTAATTTCCCCTTTTAATTAATAAAGTTTGTTAACCTGCGGTTAATTACTCCTCAGCCTTCACATGTCCGGCGAAATGAAGGCTCCTTTGGGGAGATATATAACCATTCTACCCATTCCCATATTCCCTGTATCATTAAGTTCCTTTTCCATCCCCCTCCCCCTTCCTCACATCGCCCCAAAAACCACTTTGCATCTCCTCTCCATTGTCAATTAGCTGCGATAATGTTGACATTATCCGGGGCTGGTTCCATTAATTATGCCTGCTTAAAAATGCCTGGACCCAGGGCAGGCTGCCAATTGCAGCAACAAGTCCACCTCGTTTCTGGCCATCAGCCATCCACCATCCACCATCAGCCGTTCTACATCCTCCATTGATGGCAGCAGGATGCGAGATGTGAGATGAGAGATGGGCAATGTGCGAGGAGCGAGATAAAGGTTCGAGTTAATTTCCAGCCAGGGACCCAGCTGCCGATCGGTTAGGGATTTGGTAAGGGAAGGGAGGGGACGGGAGGACTGCTATGTAGGCCACATGCCGAGCTGAAGCTTCGCAGATTGACAGACTGGCAGAGTGACGGCCTGTCAATAAGGGAAACCACCACCCAAGCTCGGCACGAAAGCGTTTCGATGTTTGGCAGGACCCTGCGCCACCCCAAAAAGGACTCGCTAAGCCAACCTGAAACACTATGTTGAGGGATACAGAGAGAAAAATAGCTAAGAAAGCTAGAAAACTTGATATGATTTAAGGGAAATGATGGAAAAATCAAATCATGGTTACCCCATCCTGCCTCTAACTTCACAGAAAGTTGATCAACTTTCTGGTTTTCCATATCCCATTACTTTTGGTTATCTTTGGTTTAACCTTTTTCCAGCAAATTCATCTAAAAAAAACACAAAAAAACCTCACAGTGTACACCAGCTTAGTAGCTACACATAGCACCAACTCCTACTCTGCCATGGCAGTGCGTGCCTCAGAGTTCGTCTCTCGTCAATTGCGTTGCATGTTTGACAATTTGCATTTTTCGTTGTCCACCTACCGCTGCCCTCCTAACCCTCTCTCTAACTCAGTCAACCCACCCTCCTAAAGCCCTCCTCTTTTGGCCATTGTCTGAGCGATTTTCAGTTGCATTTTCCGATTCCCTTTGTCATCGATAGAGGCGACTGCAAGGCAATTCGGGAATCAGGAATGCGTCACGGATTGCGGCAACTTTGCGTGCATAGGAAAGGGGAGGGAAAAACTGTTCGAAAATTGCCGAAAAACAGAGCAGTCACAGATAGAACTTTGACTCCTAAATAGGGATTCCTTTGGCCATTCCTCAGATGCAATGTTGGCAAAGCCAACGAGTGTGAGTGGAATAAAATCAGCTTTGAGTTATCGACGATTGAAAGGCAAACAGAAGACTTAAGACTTGAGAGATTTCGATGCCTTGAAAGTGCAACAACCAAAAGCGATTTTAAGCTCTTCAAAATGTTGAATCCCTAAGATTAAGATTCCCTAATTAAACCCCCGTTTGGCTGATTTGCAAACCCTTCAATCAGCGATTGCCGATGACAGAGAGAAGCTGCTGTTGCCAGTTGGCTTTGACCATCAATCAATTATCAGCACTCAACCTTTGGCCTTTCGGCACGAGTGTTTTGATTTATGCAGTTTTAAATATATATAATTTCCGTACTGTTTTCCCTTCTTTCTATTCTTTTTTTTTTTGTGCTTTGGCTCAATGCCAGTGGAATCGTTTGACTGAGCTAATCCCCAGTTTTATAGACCCTGCCCTGCCCTGCCCCCATTCTCTCCAACCAAATTTCCGACTCTCTATCATTTTTCATTTTTTGTTGCGCTGTTTTTCCTGTTGAGGCAGGCGGCGGCCCATGCCCATCTGGTGCCGTTTGTAAGGATAATGCGCTCTTGTCAAATTGCCAAGTGGATGCTGGGCATACATAGTATACAGGATACTCTCACTGAGTGGGTGGGCTGAGAATGAGAATGAGAATGAGAATGAGGAGGGACTTTGGAACGAACAGCTGTTGGACGCTAAGCGCCTCAGTCGCCTTTTATACCAACGGAATCCGCTGGAGTCCGTGGACAAACAATTTTCATGCTCGAACACGCCGCTTCCCGCTACTTCTGATCCCCTTCCTTCCCTTTCCCTTACTTTCACCATCCACCCACCACCTTTCCGTTGTGTTTAGCAACAGTTTGGTTCATTAAATTGCAAACGAGCATCGAGAATCCAGTGTGTCTCGTGGGGGGAGGGAATGAGCTCTCCAGAATCCTGAAAAGGGGAGAATCTTTTCTCGAGAGCCGAACTAGTAAATGGCTGGAAGAGATGAAGGAGGCGGAGGAGGAGGCCCACTGTGTTTACGTTTTAATCAAAATGCAAAATGTAATTTGGAATTTTAACATGAACAACGTGAGCAGGTCACTGGGCCATAAAGACCCATACAATTTCATGGCTTAGTTGGGTTTCCATTATCAGCAAAGGCAAGCAGTGATGGCCAAATCAATCAGTCAAAATGGCTAGCTTATGGAGGTTATAATAAGCTATAACTTTCTGAGCTTAAGTTAACTAAAGAAGCAAATAAAAAAATGGGAAAAAACCATACAAGTCACTTCCTTAATCAAAAACTTCCCTAATTACAAACTTTCCTTAAAAACCAATCAAACTTTAGCTATAAACTAGCCAAAAAACCAACACTAAAAGGCACAACTATACGGAGTACGAAAGAGAGCATCCGTTTCAGTGGAAAAGAGACAGTGATAGCAATTAAAAGTGGCCAACGTCCAAGGGAAAAGAGGGCCAATAATCATGGCCAAAGCTGCCAATCGTTGATGCGTTAAATTATTTCTCATAACAAAGCCCAGGCCGAAGGGTGGCCAGTGAAAGTTTAATGAATGACCCCGTCAAATGGCAGAGATCACTTGAGAAGGCACTAACTTGAGCTCAATACTCGTAAATTGAGCCACGAGCTGTCATAGTTTGGCTGAAAGCGAACGATAACTTGGCCAAGCCCCATATGATGATGTCAACTTGAAGTAGTTTCTAAGACTTTCGAAAGGTTTCTTCAAACGGAAAAACAATGAAAAGCTTCTCTTTCTATAACTTTAAATACCTTAAAGTTCCCCTTAAGCTATATAATCTTCGAACTTTAATTGTTGTTTTATCTTTATAACCTTTCCCCCCCCCTTTGGTCATCACCCATAAATCCAAATCCCTTTCGATCTAAAGTCCTAATGGGTCCTAGCAATCAATTGATGGTGCTGACTGCTGCTCTGGAGGACTTTAGTAAGTCCTCTAATCCAGTTCAAGCTGCTGCTTCCAATTCAATTTTTGTGCTGGCATTTGGTCCCTCCCTCCCTCTTCCTCTCTCTCTCTCCTTCCTGATGATTGGAGAAGGTTTGTTTGGGGGTTTCCACCTCTGATAGAAGGAAACCCCCTGAAGGAACCTGAGAAACCTGAGCAGCAAGATGAAGGAGGGAGGGGAGGATGCATTGTGGGTTTTAGACAATGCCCCGATGGCCCTCGCCGCGTGCCAGAGACAATGGGGCGGATGCACAATGGCACCAGGCACCAGGCAACCGGCACCAAACACCGACAACATCGGTCTCGGACTCAAAAATAAACCCCCCGAACAACGACAAGTGGCGACCTCTGGCCTCCCCGCCTTGGATCGCACTCCCTCTTGTAGTTTTTTTAAATGCGTTAATTGAGTGCTACGAATTGTCTTTCGGCACTTGCCACCCTTGCCTTCTGTTTTGTTTGCCATCCTATCCTTTGTGTCTCGGTTTTTTATACATTTCTCATGCTTTCTTGCTTTCTTTTTGGGCTGCAAGGCAAGCACACTTGTAGTCCAACCCAGCCAAACAACAAATCAAAGTCAAATGGTCAACGAGACGCATAAGACATGGCAAGAAGGAAAAGGCAAACAAATAGCAAAACACACCCGCAATTGCATAGAAACGGACGGCGAGTTAATGGGATGCTTGAGTTGGGAACAGGAATTGACATATCATTTAATCGGATGCCAATCAAAGCCAAATTGAAATTGATGTTCGTGTCGTTATTAACACTCCAAACTATACATCTCTCTCTATCTCTCTATATTAACTTATATAAGCTAATGAATCAAAGATAAAAATAAACAGAGTAGGTAAATGTGGGGAGGAGGGGACATACATTAAATGACATTTAAAATGTTTCAAACGACCGATAAATATAGAAAGTATCAGAGGAATTCGCTTTTAAATTCATTTAATTATTTCGAATTGAATATTAATTGAAAGTCTCATGGAATTATGTGGCCAAAATACTTTGCCAAAGGCTTAAAAACCATAATTTGTGTGCCTTTAATTATGCAAAGCAAATATTCCATTCGGATGGATAGTTGTTGGGCGCCAAATATTGGTTTAGCTTCTGGCGCAGTCTCCTCTCTACAAAAAGGTTTCTCTTTTCAATTACAGAACTTAAATTTAAAGTTGGAAATACAATTTTAAGATAGTTTTCTAAAGTTTTCTATGTAAAAATACCTTCTTTACCCCTTGAAGAGTATCTCTCCTTCCTAACCATCTATATTTAATACCAACAAAAGCTTTCTTTATGGCCGTGCCAATTGAAATGTTGGCCAAAAAGGCGGACCCAGCCCCAGCTCGTTGGCGCGCTG